GCTCTTCATCTACGACTCGCTTTTTGTTCCCTCTCAGTCACCTGGAATTGCACTCAAGCTCGGCCCGCGCACTCTTCGTAACCTCATCGTCTCGTGTTTCCCAGCACGCTAGCCAAGCTATACTCCATCTAGACTCGATCCTACCATCCGCGACATACCGTAACCATCTCCTACCAGTCAAACTTATACGGAATGGCAAAACACCACATCTTCGGCTGCCGATTTTCGGTTTTGAACACACTCCCGAGCCTTCCAAGCCATCCGGACACTTCGCTTTACACTTCACACCCTTCACTCGTCACTCTTCACGATCTGTACACCACAGCGCGGTCTCTGCACCTACCATAGCTGTCGTTATCACTCCGCACAGCACTTGAACTGCTTTTCGACACTCTGCACGATGAACACTACTCGATATCCACTACCGACTGTCTGTTTCCGACTCTACGACCTGGCAGGTGGACTCAGAATCGGTGCATCTCGGCCTCGGCTAGCTCTATCATATCTCAACTCGCGTTTCCAGACTCGTGACAAGCCTTTCGCACCTCACCAGCTATCTCCAGACTCGAGAAACTACCGTGTTTGCACCAGAACTCCTCTTAGAACACAGTACTCTACACACTGACTCCAAGCTAGCTATACACAGTCTACTCACCTGCCTTCGTGCCCCACCAGCCACTTCGCATATCCCTTCCCTCGTGCTCTTCATCTACGACTCGCTTTTTGTTCCCTCTCAGTCACCTGGAATTGCACTATCTCGAGCGCAGCACCGTGTGAGCGCACTTTACACGTGGCATTATATTCCTTCCATAATTTATACATTTACGTGATATACGACAGTCGGTTTGCGCGAGACTGCACCTCTCGTCCTTCCTCCACCCTTGAGCTTGTCTCTCAAGGTCGTCCTGCGTCACAATGCACGGGCACGTTGTTGTACGTGTCGAGTGGCACGGCGCAGCCAAGCTCTCATGCCGTGTGGGTGACCGGTCGTATTGGTGATGTACGTTCGCGTCGGTCGTGCATACGCTCGGTACTCCGTGCGATGGTCTTGCGAATGTCCTCGGGGAAATGAGCGGGCACTTGTCGTTGCGTGCTGCGATTGCGAGTCTTCCTGCCGCCGTGGGGGTGCTAGCTGCGAGACGAACAGCTCCCCGTGTATGGCGGTTGCCCGTCTGCCATATGATCGTCCAGCTGGCAGCCGCCCCTGCCGCCCGGTCGCCACATAATCTCTCTATAGTCGGTACCACTCGACGTAGCTCGCCGCGTGGATGTGTCGCGTCACGCGGGTGAGTACCAGTGAGGCCGAGCGACGTTAGTGCCGGTGTGGGTGTCGTAGATGGCGTTGGAAGGTACGTCTTGTTTGGCTCGTAAGACGCGTATGTCGGTCAGGTCGTCGGAGCGCGACGGCGACGAGTGGTATGTAATAGTCATTGTCCATACGGTGCGACGTACGGGCGGGGTTGGTGTAGACGAGCAGGCGTGGCACGGGGTTTCGGTAGTATTGTGGCGGAGCCGATGTCTTCCGCGCAGGCGCGCGTGCTGAGACTTCGTAGACGACGGGAGCAGAAGTCTTCTCAGCGGGGCAGGCGGTCTCCATTTAGCGAGTCATCGGGCGCAAGCGACGTATGTCCGCCGTGAGAGCGTCGCGCAGATTGACGTGGGCTCGGTTACGATGAAATATGCTGCCCGAGCGCGTGGTGTTGGGAGGGCAGAGGGTTATAACGGCCTGGTTGTATGAGGTATCGCCGTACATAAGCACTTCGGTTTGTGCATTAACGCTGGCGGGGTGCGGGCGCAGAGGCGGCGCGGACGCGTTCTGCGCTGGAAGGACGTCGCAACCATTGCACGCAGTGACCCTAACGAGACTGTGTTAGACTGTGTTGTAGACGGGCGTATGCGCGATAATTCAAAGTGGGCACGGTATGCTTCTGATGTGTCTGAGTGGGGGCGTCGAGTCGGACAGAGTACTCACCACAAGCCAACCAAAATCTTGCTGCCTGACTGACGGCGCGCACGACAGGACACGCGAAAGTGAAGTAGTCTCCACCGCCACCTCGCCCGCTCGTCTGAAGGTCGCTGGCAGCGCAAAGGCTCTGAATAACGTTCGTCAGATCGGATACAAGAGTTATGGTAGGAGAGAACATGACGCACGAAGTCTAGCCGAGCGACCTCCATGCTCGAGTTAGTCCATAGCGTTGCCTACGAGGTTCTATTCCCAGGCCGCGCGGTACGCCATGTATATCAACACACGAGAGGATGATCAAGTACGCGCGCACACCAATCAAACGCATATCCTTGACCGCGTGAAAGAAGCCGCTGGCAGCGTCCGGAATTGGTAGAGTCGCCAGCCGCGCGAGCAGCCTCGGCGGCAGAACCCGGTGTAGCACAGCGGTACCGTTTGGACAGCTAGGCGTCTGATATGAGTTTAGATATTCACGCCAGGATTTTCAGATGCTCACCTGTACTCGTTCGTGCTAGCAGGAGTATTATCGGTCTAGACGAAATCGGCGTCAACAGCAGGCTAGCCAGACAAGTCGGTCGCCAAATCGAGTGTATACTGTCAGCCGGAAGAGCGTCCGAGTAAGGTGGAAGCAGTCAGTCTTATGAGTGTCAGAGGCGGCGCGGTCATGTTGGAGGAGGTGATGGTGGCGGTAGGGAAGAAGACGAACACGCGGGCCGTCGGACGGACGCGCCCTCTCTTCTTACTCCCACGACGTATCCCTGCACCGTTTACTTCACTATGTACGAACTCCTCATCCTCATGAGGCACTCACACGGTACGTACTGCTAGGCCGGACTCGATGCGGCAATCATACTGTAGGCTGACTCAAGAGACTACTCGGCCAAGGTGTTATACTCGCGCTGAGCGTATAGACTGCATTTTAGTACAAGTTTGGCTGTCGTATACCTAGGTGCGCACACACGTACTATCACGTCAATGACTGGTGCATTTGACGTCTCTCACTCAGTCTTCATGCAGGATCGGGCCTATTCGTGCTATTTCTACACCAGCTTCCCGACTCCCTACATCCAACGCGTCTTCGCTCGACTAGACAACGTAGACAGCAGTCAAACGAACGTAACACATGTTGTATGTACTACATGAACGTATGAGTCTTTAATATCTACGAATCGTCTCGCGTGCCCGACTTGTCCGCTGCATTCCGCACGCTGTGCGCGCAGAAGCCAAACACATCCATCGTGGGTAGAGCGCGCCACCGATGCCCTCGATACGCCAACTCGCGCACAACCAAGGTGTGCCTCCTTCGCTCTCGCACGCACTCTCTTGATACCCGATCAGTGCCTTATCGAGTAGTACCGCCAGCCCGCCTAACGTCGAAGTTCAGAGGGGCCCCGGCGGTCCCGGATGTGCGCGTTCGCAGAACCAATCAAGAGCGATGATGGTGGTATATCCAGCACGGTTTGGAGTAACGACGCTCTTCCACGGTAACGCCTACACGGCTTCCGCACTCGGCGTCGACGGCGCGGCCATGGAGCACGCCTTGACGTCGGACGATGCTGAGCTATGACGATAAGCCCCGGCGTATAGGGCTCCGCCATTCGAGGTACGGGGTTGGATCGTTGTAGTTGGTCGTCGGAAAATAATCGAGGGGTGGTGATTGAAGAAAGAACATGTTCGCTTGCAAGCAAAACGAGGTGCTCGGAAGAGTGCAATGACGAAGCGGAAGAAGTGCGTGTGTCTGCCGTTTGGCGCACAAGCTCGAGCTGCGGAGAGCTCGATGCAGTATTGTATCACCCGCTCTTGAGCTAGGCTCCGGCTGTCCAACTCGTAACGCCCGCACAGGGTTTTAACCGTCGTGGGTGGATTCAGGGTCTCATGCGTCGCGCACCGACTGAGCGGCGGTCCGTGGAAGCTAAGCGCGTGTGCTCAACAGCAAATCGAAGGCCGAAGCCAGCACAAGTGACTTGTCCGCGAATGAGTTCAGCTGGAGTGATTGCGCGACATTGGGTAGCTCGGCGCTATCTCTCGGTGCTAGCGACGGGCCGACCAGTTGTAGCTTGGAGACGCTTTGATAGGTAGCGATCGCCATACGATGCATCCATTGGGATGAAGATTCGTTGCCAGCGCGTATTTGAGATCACATGGTGTGAAGTGTCGGCGTAACCCACGGAGTGTTCGAAGGATAGACGATGTAGGTGCACGCATCGCAGCGGGAAACCGAACGCTATCAGGCGAGACGCGGGCGCGATGATTCGACGGCGGTAGGGGTCATGAAAGGGCCAGCATCAATGCGTCAACGAAGTGCGCTCCGTATGGATATGAGACGCCATGGGAGTTATATAAGAGCCCAAGTAACCAGCAGAGTCGGAACCTTCGTTCGCGCCCGAGGACTGAGACGCATTCGCGGTCATTCCGAGAAGAGTGAATCCCCTTTCGTAGCGGGTTACAGACATGCCCATCACTATAAGTCAGACACACATATATCAGAAGCGTGTCTGAGAGCGCAATTTGTAATGAGGACTCACGAGACGTAGAAACCCGTCAATATGACTTCTCCACTACTGCTGCCCTGCGAGCCTTGGACTCTCGTCCCCCCTCCCATCCAGTTATAGCCCATGCGTATGGCCGTAGCAAGTAGCCTTTTCCTGTACCAGAATACGGTGGAGCTCGTGGATGTGACGTCGCAAGTATAGCAGGGCGCGAACGGCTAGGGAGCAAGGGCCGCGCGGCTTCGTGCGCGAGCCAGAGAGGAACCACGCAACGAAGATTGAAGAGGCGCGCGAGAGGATGTATAAGACGTATCAAGTACGCGAGTGGTCGGAAGCAGAGGGCAGATTGGAGTGACAGTGAGCATTGCAGCGCATGATGATGATGGTCGCGGTCAAGTCGCGTCAGGTCGCGCGCGCCCTGTCTCAATATCACTCCAGAATATACTCATTCACTCTTCCTACTGTTCTCTCACGCGTACACTGTCTTGAAAGTACTTTATGCGTCGTATACATACGATCCGTAGGCTGCTGAGACAAAAGGAATTTACGTGCTACTCCAAGTCGAGCCACACTCGACCGCAGATTGAGCGCGAAAGTACGTATTCTCGGGGCGGAGATGGCATGGGAAGGAGAACGGATGAATACTGTTACAAAAGATGAGGATCTGCCAATAAAGTTCCGACGCCGATGGCCAATGGTGGGCGATGCATGGTGGAATATGCTCGCCAAGCGCGAGACCGTGAGCGAGACCGACGGTGAGCCCGAGTGGAATGACGGGAGGGTGGAGGGTGGAGAGGGGCGTGCATGAAGAATCATAGGTTCTGTATTTGGACGATGAGGAATTGCTTCTCGTCTGTGAACTGCTCATCTGCGCGAATCATAAGTGCGCAGTCTAGCGTGATGAGTTCATGCAGACGTACCGTCCTTGTCGTTGTGAAAGTCCTTCAGGAAGGCAAGAAGCTTCTCCTTGTTTCGCCGCAGAATGCTCTCGATTTGCGGTGGCTTCTTCGGGTTCGCCACGAACACCTATGGCTCAGATGAGCACACGAACACACAGCAATAGTACTGTATACGTGCCTTGAATACATGGAACGCCTCGAACTGGATGTTCTTGCTCTTATCACGCAGCAAGTTCATCATCATCTTCAAGTTAGCGTCGTTGGAGATATAGCGGGTCATGATGGCGAAGTTGGCGCGATCGAGCAGGATCTCGCCGAGAAGCTTGAGGGACTGGCGTTTCGTTACGTAGTTGTTGGACAGTATCAGAGTGGTGTACGAGTTGAAGAACTAGGCGATGCATATTAGCTAAACGAACAAGAGGAGAAAGACGAGTATGACGCACCCGGTCGTAGTTCTTCTCCAAGTACTCCGCAACCATTGGCTTATGCCGCGTAAGCGTATCCTTCAAACTCGAATACGCGTCCGTCGAGATACCGAACGTAGTGGTCTCGATGTAATGCGGGAACTTGTAGAACTGTTCCGAGTACAGCAGGATCTTGCAGAGCCCCTCGTGCCTCAACATCTCTCTCAAGATCATTCCCGTATTCAGCGCGATATCTTCGTTCTCGTACCCGGCAAACGCGACAAACAAGACATCGCGCTTGCCCGAGATGTACTCGACGGTTGGCCATCGCGAACCGATCTGGCGTCGGAGAAGGTTGTTGAAGATCTGAACGACGTCCTTGCGGGATTCGAAGTCGAACTTGGCGATGTGAGTTACGAGGTGGTAGAGTAGGTCGGTGCTGTATGTCTCTTGCGCGAGCTGGGCGAGGAGTTCGGGGACGGGCTCTGTGCAACACGTCGATGTCAGCGTCTAGGACCGACGGTATAAGTTCATGTGTACGCACCTCCGTCACCGTATAGTAAACCCTTAATCTGCTGCAATCCCCTGCTTATCTCATCACTGGCCTATCATCTTCAGCATTCCCGCCACCCTCCCAGGTGTAGATCGACGCACCTTCCGCCTAGCCTCGCCCGGCGGCGCCGATTCCAACCTCTGCACGCTGTCGCGTAATCCTCGAACAACTTCTGGCGGCGTCCGCTGCTTGGACTTGAAGAAGTTCATCGTCGAGGCGCGGGATGGTGGACGATAGCAAGATGATGGCGGTTAGAAGCAAGGGCGGCACAGTGCCCGAATGGTACAGATGCGGACGTCGAGAGGATCCCGCGACTTCCGCTAGCCCGTTCAGACGTTAAAATGCACTCATTATCAGCTACGCATTCGGGAAGATGACGGCGCGGAGCGAGAAAGGACTCCTGGTCCAAGGTTACAGCTGAGTCCTGTTGTACGCGTGGAAGACTAGACATCGGTTCCGAATGTGCACTAGTAAGGTAGTGGCAGTCCTTCAGAAAGTAATTTCATCGTATCTTTGTCGTGTATAGTATTCGTTGCAGGCGGCGGTGGCGAGAGTTGCGCCAGTGGTGGTGGTAGAGAGGAAACGAGCTGCCGAGCGCATGCAAAGACGTGCAGAGACGCGTCGGCGACCCTGCCTCTGACCACCATCATCTCACTTCGCGTGCTCTAATGCTATCGTACTCTGACATGTATCCTGAAGCGGAATGGCTTGTGCTTGAACTTCGCGAACATCTCACCGTTGTCTGTCTATAAGAGCATCCTTCCGCTTGGCTGGTTCTGGTTAGATCTACCTGAGTACCCGACCGCGAGTTCGCGAATAGAGGAATAGAGGTACATATATTGAAAAGAACCCGAGATAGATAGTGTTTCTAGCTGCATAACCTAATCGCTTCTAAGAGCGATCCCAATCCCATAACCCTATGAAAAGAAGATAAAGTACGCTCAGCGAACTCGATCTGCTTAGAAGATGCCCGCGCTCTGGCTGCCGCCGTTAAAGGCGTTGCAGTTGACGGAGAAGAGGCCGGACTGAAAGCATCGTTAGCGCAAGGTAGCATGGAGACGAGGAACGGACGTACGAAGTGGCCGCCGTCGCAGCAGACGGTCTGCTGGTTGCACTGCGCGCCGCCAGACAAGTCGTTAATGATGGGCGAGCACGCGAGGCCGACAGGAGCGTTGGAGCCACGGAGAATGTTGGGAATGAGCTCGTAGACCTCGGAGTCGGCGAACTGCTCGAAGTCGACGGTGTTCGCCTACCGCGAATAAGTCAGAGAGCGCGTTATCTGGGCAGTACAACTGTGACGTACCGGCTGAACCTGGTTGCAACACTGGAGGTCGCCCTTGTTGCAGTCGCTGACGGGCGCGGGGACGTACTCAGAGTCGGAGTAGCACGAGTAGTCGTCGCACTAAGAATACATATGATGAGCAACGCAGACGATGAAGAAAATGCAGTGCGAACCGGCTTGGCCTCCGCCTGGTAGGCGGGCTTCTCCTCGTACTCGGGCTTGTACTCTGGCTCGTACTCCGGCTTGTACTCAGGCTCGTACTCGGGCTGGTAGTCCGACTCCGGTGCCGTGTACTCGGGCTGGTACTCCGGCTCGTACGCGGGCGCCTCGTAGTTCTGCGAGTGAAGGTCAGCACGAGTGATGCACAGGAAGAGCAGCGGGCGTACGTTGCGCTTGTCCTCCTTGGCCTCGTGCGCGTAGTGCTCGAAGGCGTAGTCGTACGCCTTGTCGTAGGCGCTCTCCTTGTAGCCGTACTCGGGCTTCTTGTACTCGACGTCGTAGCTGTTGTCCTGCTGGTACGGGTCGTAAGGTGCGTAGTCGGATCCCTCGGGCTGGGCGTGGGCGGTGGCGAGCGCGACGGCGGCGGCGATGATAACGGCGCGGGCGAACATGTTGAGTTGGTGGGCGGGGAAGGGTGATAGGATGAGCTAGTAGATGTGGATGGTGAGCGACGTTGGTCGGATGAGAGAGCGGATGGCACGCGCCTTTCTACTTATACCGGCCGTATAACTCCCGCCGGTCTCGCTCAACAGCTGCGAGTAATGTGAATGCATCGGTAAGATGCGTCGCATACTGATACATGAAACGCCGCGATGGTGGCGAGCAAGGCGAACGCGGATCTAGACTCCTTGAGGCCGTACTCACTGGATCGCAAGGAGTGAGCACAGATAGCAGGAGAGTGTTCCTCGAAGGGGCTCAGCACCCGCGCAGACATGTAACAGAGCGGCGGACTGTCTCGCCGCACACCAAGGATGAGGCGGGCGAGCTCTCAGTCAATGAACGGGGCGCGAGGATAACGTCGATGTATGCTAGTGCACAACGCGATCGTGAGCATAGTGCAACGTATCCGTCCTTCTTCGCGACGAAGTCTCGAAGACTTGAACGCATGCGATCGAGGCGTAAGCTCGTGATATCGAGTTTGTCGTCGAAGTCAACTGTTTAAAGATGAACGTTGAACGTTGAACATTGGTGTCTGCGAGTCGCAGTCGTATTGCTGCCAGCCGGTTGAAGTAGCAAATTATGGGTAGCGTGCGCCGCAGCGTGTGCATAGGTCACATACTCTGGCATGTGCACGAAAGAAGGGGGGCCGTACGTGAGGAACCAGAGCATGGTGGTGGTTGCCGACTAAGTGACTGCTAAGGCAATACGGCTGCTACTTAGCATATGGATTTCAGGCGAGTTCAGCTCATCGGGCGAATAGCACGTAGGGATCTTGAGAAGATAAGACCCCGACGAGCATCTCTAGTATCAAGCCTGCATGCATGGCAGCGTATGTCGACAGCTGGTGACAGCGTTGGATGATGTGAGGCATTCATATGGTTCTGTCGCGAGGCAATCGTTCATGTTCAGTGCCGGAGAGATCATGGTCAAGGTCAGAGGCAAGTCGCGCAACGCGCGTCAGTCTGAACTTGATCTTCACCAGCTTCACCATTGACATCGTGGGACCAGGACAACTGAAGCGATGTGTACGCTATGGAATATTCACAACATCTGAATATACTCCTTCGCTATGAGACGATGCTTTAATTGCAATCACCGGAAGCAACGAGGTCGGCGACATAGAAGGTATGGCGCCAGCGCGGCTTTATGTATACATCGTGGCAGGTAGAGCAAGAAAACAGCAGTGATCGAAAGCAGAGGACACAAGCGGGCAGACAGACGTGATGAGAGAGGTGTAGGGAAGCGAATACGTGTGAAGTATGTACGAGGGAATGGCCCAGAGCCCAAATGCGAGACGAGTATACTACAGATATTGTATGCATTCATTCTGTGAGGAGTCCGTGGTCGTACACTGAATAAACCAGATGCGGGAGAGCATAACATAAGTATGGCGAGGAGGTGATGGTGATCAACACAGGAGATTCGAGAGGTACTGCTGAGAGCGGCGACTGTACAAGAGAACAGTGCTGCAACGTAGGCGTAACAATTCATGAGCGTGGAGAGCGAGAGGATAGATAGTGGGGAGACGTGGAAGACGAACACGTAGGAAGAGCAGTACGAGAGCTGGCATGATTGTGACGGATGGCTATATCAAGACGGTGACTGGTGCTCAAACCTCGACGGCCTCGCGCTTAACGGCCCAGCTGCCACTAGTGCCCTCGCTGGCGTCAACGGCGGCAAGGAGATCGTTGGCAAGATCATCGTCATCATCTGCCTCGGCATCGACGTCGATCTCGTTGTCTATCTCGCTGATGCTACGTGGGCGCACAAGAGCGCGTTGCTGAGATGGAGAATGAGCGCTGACATGCGAGTGGGAGGAGGCTGAATCAGCGCGAGCGCGTGGGGGTGGCGAGGCGCCGAGAGTGGCGATGGGCGGGTGCGCCTGGTGTGGGACATGTGCAACAAGTAAGGGCGAAATACGCGCGAGCTCGGGCGCTCCAGGAAGACGAGCGGGGAGCGTAACCGCCGCAGAGACCCTCTCAGGCTCGCGTTCGTGAATGCCAGAGGGCGGAGGAGAGATATTGTGGGGGCCCAAAGCGATCGGATCCATAGTACCACGGCGCTCGACACGTTTCATCTTCTTGCGGCACCTGGATGTACTATGAGTCCATACACTTACGCGGTTCAGATCTCAATGCTGACCTATCGCAGACTGTGCCAGGGCCAGATGGGCCCGGACCCCACTTCTCGACACATTTACCATCTTTGTAACGACCTGCGAGACCGCATTGGCGACAGATACGTTGTCCCTTGTCGTTTGTGGCGGGGAAGCCGCCGGGCGGCAGGATGATAGGAGCGCGGCCATTGGGAGACGTCGTCGGATCGCCTACAACATAATTAATGCATAGCATCAAGAAGGAAGTACCGAGTACATACCGAGGGTAGCTGCCTTGTCAATCGGGCGAGTCTGCGTACGCTTGACCGGTGGACCGGTGACTGGCGGCTGGAATACGTGCGTCTGGTACTGCTGCATGGGTGGTGCAATGGCCGCAGTCGCGGATTGCGCGAGTGGCGAGTCGCCCGCGGCGTCGAGAAGCATGTTCTCTACAGAGAGCGAGCGTGATCGGCTACGAGTAGGTGTAGTAGCACGCGAGCGTGGCCGGCCACCCATATCAACGACACCATTCTGCTTGGGCGATGTCGAAGAGGCTGCTGGACGAGCCAAGGGGAAAGCGAAGGATGGTGCTGGGGCAGCGAGGTAGCCGCGATCAGCACCCGGACCGGTCAGATACTGTGGCGGGCGGGCGATAGGCAACTGTGGAGAGTCATCGTCGATGGTCAGATCACTGCTCCTGGGAAGCAATCAAGTAGAAGAACTTACTTCGCCGACATGGCGCGGGCCGTCAACTCGGTGACGCTTTGTTGGACGTTCATCGTTACTATCGGTGCGATGCCGACGCGTGGGCATCGTAACCGGTGTTGGTGGTAACGTCGCCGGCATTCCAGGAAAGACAGGTAAAGTGCGTGCGGTACCAGCCACACGCGCAGCAGCACCAGCGAGAACCATCGGACTTGGCGGGGGCTGAAAGTGAGCGTACCCGACGGACTCGCCCATGACGCGTGAGACCTCCTTGCGAGCGTCGTGAAGACGAGAGTCAAGCACTGCAGAGTGGCGCTCGAACTCGTCCCAAGCCTCGCGCATAGCGTTCAAAGATTTGCGAGTGGCGGCGTGATGCTCGCGCTCGCGCTCATAACGCTGTTGAAGATCGTTGATGGTGGCAGCAGCAACGGGGTCCGCATGTTGACGAGCAACTGCGAGCTGGGCACGAAGATCGGCATTCTCAGCACGAAGGGTCTCATGTTCTGAAAGTATAGAAGTAACGAGATAGCCGACGGTGCTGCTAGAACCAGCGTCGGTAGGGGCGGGGCCGTGCAGAGACATGATAGTCAATCCAGGCGAGGTGTAAGAAGGGGGAGAGCGGGACATTCGACGGAAAGGGAGGGGCGAGCGGGAACCGTACGGGCGCGCCCTTTTGTAGCCGACTGCGGTGCGCCGCCCGGCGAGAGCGCCTCTCGCCCGCCACGGCGGCAGTGTCCTCCGTGAGGCGCGTGCGCGCGCCCAGGCACAATGCCCGCCAAACCGGTGGACCCCGGAAACCCCGTTGGGTCACGTACTATTCGTTTGTTTCCTTCTTCCTTGCCTCCTCCGTCTCCGCGTTTCCTCACCTTCCCAGCCATATGAACTACCCTCTTTCCGGCTCTTATTCCTGTTCGTGGTGTGCCACATGCGGTCATGCACTATTTGGCACTTGCCGCGCCTGCTCCTCGAGCCTGAGCTCCGCCGCACCGAAACGTACTCGCGCGCTCACCCGCATCTTCTTCAACCCGCGCTGGCAGCGCCCGTCAGACGTCTAGGCTGCGAAGGTCTCAGGAATCACAGCGCCCGCTTCGCCCCCGAACCGATCGCGGACTTCGCGCAGCGGCATCACCGCCGCCTCCCGACGCGTCTTGATGGTTCGGCGCCCGTAGCATAATGCACGTACCCGGCATAGTCGGCAGGGTGACAGCGCCGCGACGTGGACGTGCATAAGCGCGCCACAGGCGCCCGCCAGGCTCGCAGGTTTCCGTGTTCGCTCTGCTGCTCGAGTGTTGGTACATTGTAATTCTTCGTCGGTCTTGCTCGAGTTATGAGAACTCAAAACCAGTCGTGTGCACTGGGAGCCCGCATACTGCCCAAAATGATAGACGAAATTCAGTGACCGGTCGATACAGCACAGGTGACAAGGACACTGACACTAACCACCACAAATGGCGGCACATTCTTCGTTCAACTCACCCTATCCTCATCTAGTATGTGGCCGGCACCGCCTAGTCACGCACGAGAACCGCAGCCGCGGTGCTACCACATGCAACCGTGTGTAGGGGCGGGACCAGGGAGCCACCGAGAAGGCAGTTCCCGTTTCAGACGTCCATACATTCCCCTCTACAAGTCCGCTGGGATCTACAGCACGCACATCAGCGCATCTGCTCCCAAATCTCGTGCGTTGTAGGTGAACAGACCTACTAGAGATGGTATACACTCTCGTGGATACCAATGCGAAGGCTTCGCCTCAATCCTGCCGCCTGCTAACGATTCGCTCCCTCGCCCTCGTCATGCGACCACATCTCTGGTCGTTTGCGGTGCTGCGCCGTCATGCTGCAACCGCGCGGCGCTCGTCGTTCGTCTGTTCCGGTTCAATCACCCGCGAGCGCGGGCGCGCCGCCCACGCCACGCCATCTGCACCATCTGGCGGCCCGCTGGTCTACGCTTCCTTTGTCTTCGTGTCGGTATCATGTGGTTCTGCGTATCGCTTCTTCGCAGGCTTCTCGCCTCCTCGGTCCCAGGCTGAGCGAAGTTGTAGTCTGCTCGCATCAGCTCGAGCAAAGCGCACGGCGGACGCGAGGCGGGTGCGCGCTTTGTGCCGCGTGTATCAGTAGGGAGGTTGAAATCGCCGAATTCACGCGTGGGCGCCGAAATTTACGTGCTGCATCCCCGTACGCCAGACCGCTCCTTCGAGGAAAATGGCCCATAGATAGTACCTATGGGTCCCTGCGACAGCACACCACCACTTTTCCGTACGGTACTGGCTTCTGTGGCGCGGGAACGCAACACGTGGATTTGGGCATCAGCACGTGGATTCGGTCATTTCAACCTCTCTAGTGACCATCGCGCACGGCCTTGCCCACGATCGGTTCGATCTTCCCGCTGAGGTAGCCTTGCAGCGCCAGTACAGCGTGCTGCGCTAGCGCTCGCGCCGACGGCCGCCCGTGTTCGAAGCTCGAAGAGGGGCGGGAAGACTGAAGGGGGCGGGAGCGATGACGTGAATGTCCACGGTCTCCGGGGTCCCTGCCCTGGTCTAAGTCGCGCTCGGTTCTCGGGAGAGAGCAGCTTCCGTGCCGCCCGACGTCGCGCAGCGGGCAAGGACAGAGCGAGACCCTGACGTCGAGCTGCAACAGATGGACCGTCGCGCGCTGCGCCCTGCGGTCTCTGGTCTACCTGACACTTCCCACGCGCCCGCCGCATCCTCAGGCTCGAGCACCGCCCTTGGTAGCCTCGCACGACCTGTCGCCACGGACTCAGCGACTCACGCCCGTCTGCAGTCGCATAGCGCCCATCTCTCCTCCGCCCCATATTCACAGCGGCGGCCGATGTCGAATTGCTTCCCTCATCAGCCTGTACCGCGATTCGTTCTCGCGCGTCTACACCCCACTTCGACCGTCGAGGGGCGCACAGCCCGCGCGAGCCGGAGTTGGCGCGGGATCTTGCGTGGCATATCGGACCGCTGCATTCCAGGTAAGTACGCTTTGCCCTGGCGCTGGATCCTGATCAGGTTCTCGAGGCTCAAGCGCGCCTCGGAGAGTTGTCGATGGCTGCGCATGCTGTTGACGTCGAGAGACTTCCATATCGGTCAAGGCTTGTAGGGACCAGTGCGGCACGGCTACAATGAGGCCTGTCTTGCAAGGCGCTTCGTGAAGGGGCGTGTCAAAGGCGAGGCGCATACGCGTTTGGTAGAGGGTGACGTGGGTGTGCGAGTCGTTGCGATTGTCGGCGATCGCGGCTGGAAGTCGGGATGGAGTACTTCATTTGTGGTTGCCGAGGTACTGTAGTACTGCACAAATGAAGGTCGCGTACAGAGACTTCTCGGCGCGTCGGTGTAACACACGACCGACGCCGGCGAGCATCTTGATGCACGGAGCGCTCGGGCCATTGTTGGATAGATGAAGAGCAAAGAAGACTAGTGCTGTGCTGTGGTAGTGATCGTTGATATCTGCGAAGTTTGTGCACATGTGCTGAAGCGCGGCCTGCAGCCGTGCAGACAGCGTATCAAGCGGATAGATGACAAGTGAGGCTAAGAGCGACCAGGCTAGGAAATCGAATGCATCCATCTTCCAATCATTACACGCCGAAATGCGTGCATAGAGCAGCCGCAAAGTGTTTGATTTCCAGTACGAGGCGCCGTGGAAGGATCGATGAGAGCGAAAGGACAGACAACAAGTGGGTGGACGAGCGATTAGAACCGCTGACACCGTGGCACCAATTTATCTCATGAACAGACAGGACTATAGGTTGTCGGCGGGTCACCCCAAGAGAGCGGTTTGCAGTGAGGTCGGTGAAGGATATGGGCTCGAACCGATGCGATATGGACGGTATGTCCCAAGCGAGCGCGCATATAAGCACCAGTCAAGACGCTTGGCTCATTCAGCGTGTCGTAGCATGTGATCGTTTGGAAAGACAACACTGCTGCCCAGCAAAGGATCCAATAGGTAGCGCTTTTCCTGTCCACATAGTCATAGCATGGCTGTATTGTATTGCAGACTTCTGCGGGTGGGTTTCCAACCCTCCTTGTCGTCTCGGGACTTGGCGTTAGAGCCGCACAAAGCCGGATTATGACCGTGACGTCGAGATGATCGAGCAACCGGTAGAGATCCAGATCATAATTATTGGAACCGACAAGCTCAACACTTGACAATCTGCATTGAAGTTTTGACGTGAGAACCAGGAGATGGGTGTAGAAGTATAAGGACAGCGCACCGTCGCCGGGGGGAGTCTCGTCAATCTGCTTCCAATGAGAAAGTCAATGTTCTGAGTAGCATCAGAACCGGTCCTGCCATATCGATCGATGTAAATAAGAAATAGATGGGATGGCTATACGACGAGTTAAGACCCATCGTGCCTGTGGAAGGAGTTGAGAGAAAGAGCGCACCTAAACTTCCAGCGCTTTTTGACTACCCATTGAGTGCAGAAGTCCTTTCACATGAGAGCTCAAAAATTCGCTCGCTATGCGTGATCCGTTCCATGAGAGAGCAGCCTACGCTTACCAAAACTCAAGAATGGTGGCGGTCCGAGAGAGAGAAACGCCTCGGGCGACCAGCGAAAGGCATTGACGCGTGACGTCACGCGTTTTGCGTGTACAGCTGGCGCTTACGAGCGCGAATGGCTCCTTCAGGGCTGGGACAAGGCTTGAACAACATGAGATATATTGCTATTGTCCTAATGAGAATCTGACACTCTTCAGAGTAATTGAATGAGGGCTACGCTCAGCGATGGACTACAGGCATGATGTATCTACGTAAGCGTCGCATCGGGAACACCGCGCGCTCGCCGCTTCTTCTTGCTCGCCTTCGCCGTTACCGTGCGTTGAAGACCCGCGCTATGCGCATCGTGCTCTTCATCCATGAATCCCACCGCAGAGATCTCATCGAAAGGCTCAACCTCGTCAACGGCGTGTTCCCAGGATGGCCAGGGATCTGACTCCTCGACATGCGCTTCATGACCCCGCGCATTATCCAAGACATCTGCACCGCTTGATGGCGTGCTGACAGACGGTCCGTCGTCTTGGCTCGTTGCGTGCGAAAGGGCGTCGTCTTCCATCCGTCTTCCGCCCCGTTCAAGCACGAAGTCTTCATCCTCTTCGTCGAACTCCAGAGGTACTGAGGTACTTGTTTGTTCGCCACGCGAGGGAAGTACGCGCGGTGAACGTACACGACCGATTTGAGAGCGTAGTCGGCCGATACCATCAGTCACGTTGTCGGCCATACGATGAATTGGCAGAGAGTTCTTGAACGATCCTGAAGTGCCAGGGGCGCCATTCGGGTACATGGGTATGACGGGTGGACTAGATGGATATTCCAAGCTGCTGGTGATGGCACTCGAAAGGGATTCGTCGAAAGAAGCTGGAGTGCCGCCATGCTCGTGGGCCAAGAATGCTGCGTCGCCGGCACTCGTCGGATGCGCACTGACGGAAACAGCGCGACGAACAGCTATAACCCTGCCCGCGAGGTTGTACTTGTGACGACGCAGCAAACCATGATAGTCGTCATTGAGCGCGAAGAACGAGAACTGGTGTTGAAGGTAAATGGTGCGAGGCATGATTCGCTTCGACAAAGAACTTGTCTGCAGTTCGGCGTACGCAAGCCAGCTGAGAGTACACATTAGCTGCGTGGTACCATAGAACCGTAAGAGAGATGGCCTACCTGGGCTTGGAGGATAGAACCACGCGCTTCTTCGCAGAAGGGACTTGCAACGAGAGCGGCGTGCGCAGGGCCTCCCAGTCTCGTGCACGACGAAGTGGCCACACCGCGACCTCTGCCTCACGCGCAATCAGCTCAGATGAGCGTTCCATCATCTTGCTGAGTGCAGACACGGGTGTCTTGCTCGAGCCGGCGAAAGACGGTCGTGCCGGTAGCGATATACTCGTCAGCGGCAACGAGTAGCCAGTACCCGGGACAACCAGAGCATTCCCTTCTGCCCCACGCGTCTCAATGAAAAGCCGGTAGAGCGTGAGCGTGCCGTGAACTGGATCGAAGCTGAGCAGATCTTGATAGTTCGTCGGCCGCCGTCGTCCTACCGGAGATAAAGGCTCAGGACTAGGTGAAGAGCCCGCCGAAGTAGGACGCGAAGAAGGCGGAGATTGGGCCGAAGGAGGTAAGAGGCTCTTCGGGAGCGAAGAGGAAGAAGTGATGAAGGTGAAGGCCAGCGGTGGAATAGGCGCGCCGCTGACTTCCGTGATAGGTGGCTTATGTGCGTAAAGCCGCTTGATCGGGGCGACCGAAGTAGTCGAGGCAGGGGGCTATACGTGTTTCAGTACCTAAGGACATATCGTAAAGTTGATCACATACCAGCTTGAGCGAGTTGAGAACACGTCCGCTTACATGGCTGCGCTCGTCTGCAGGACCACCGTATGGATTGGTGGCGAACACATGCACCGTGCGCTTGCGAGAGCCAATCGCAACCCAGCGGCCATCAGAAGCAGGTTCAACAACTTCAATGTGCCCAGAAGTGCGACCACGCCGAAGATCGTAGATATGATGCGGCTGGCCATCCTGTCATGCTCGTTAACTCCGTGTATTAGACGCATATGTAGATGAAACTGACCTCAGGCATGACGGAGTCTGTGTCTTGAGCAACGCGTCGCTTGGCACGTGAAGGAGGGCGAAGCCTAAAGACAGGGAGCGTCTGACCATCTTCTGGTACCACAACGACCTGGGTACCATCCTCGGAGAACCGCAAGGCAGCAACGTGCGCACGCTGAGAAGGCTCCCATTCGGCGATACCCTCTGGCTTGCCGTTGTCGTCATGGAGTAATGGACGAAGGTCGAGGACTGTCACGAAGGCGTTACCGACAGTAGGCACTGGTGCGGCCGAAGACGGGTCGCCGCGGAGATGCACATCATCTGAGATGTCTACGCTAGCGCGCCTTGAAGGTGCGCTGCGGGATTGGAAAGGTCTGGCGGGAGGCGCCGGCATGGGAGCTGTAGGACCGGCCATGCGTGAGCGCGCCGCCGTGATGGCCATGCCGCCAAGCGAGCGCATGCCACTCAGTACGCTCGTGCCAATAGTGGTGCCGACGCGCAGAGCTGTATCTCTGAGGTCGGCCTGGTTGATAGTAGATGTAGTGATTGAGCCACCAGGCTTCGTATCGGAGCGTGGCGGAGTTGATGCGAATGCAAGAAGCCTGTGGGAAAGTGCGAAGACTGGGCGGGGCTCGTGATCTGCTGGAGGCGCCGTAGGGTCTATGTCGGGTAGTAGTACAGAGGTATCTTGTGCGTTATTGTTTGTTGGTAGAGGCCGGAAGAACGGGACGAGCGAAGGCGCAGATATTACATGCAGGACGGAAAATGTACAAGCCGATAGGACCGTGATTGATGTTGGGTTTGATGTGCTCTGCGAAGACAGATGAGCGCGCACTTCGTGACTCGGGGGACGGATGACACTCACAAGAACTATGAAGTGATTATTTGCTGAGAATGAAACCAGTCCGGGAGCCGCGATAGTCTTGATGATATCATGAGAGTGGAGAGAGTAGATGAGGAAACGTGGATCGCGCGAAGTCTGCTTGGCTCTACATGGAGAAGCGAGTGAGTATAGGATCACAAGAGGCGAGAGTATACTGACATGATACCAATGAGCGGTCGAGCCCGCTGAAGCTGATCTGGACCAGATGCAGGTGAAGGAAGTACGGAGGCTTGCCAGATACGACCCCAAGAAACGTCGGGGAGATTGAGCAGTTCCTTCGGCGCGTCGAGACTGGTGCAGTCCCAGATCTGCATACCGCGGAGGTATCCCACAAGAAGCCAACGCCTACAACGACTCTGTATCAGGTGTACATACAAGGCCACACAGTGTGATTGACTGACCTGGTAATAGGACCGTCGACGACTGTATCCCATCGTGACCACAAGATGCGCTCGCTATTGTCAGCGTCACCGCTGGGGTATCGCATCATGCCGGGAGCTTGACTAGGGTCGGAGTGCGGGTTGTCGAGACTGAGAACCTCGTCTAGAGTCTTGTGTCCAGCGTCGGAGCCCCAGCTCTGGCGGCGAGGATCGGAGGGAGGTGGACCAGGGGGCATTGAGTGGCGCTCGTTATCAGATGTGGGCGACATGAATGTGGCAAAAGAGAGTGGGCGTGCAACGCGCGGTGGCGAGAGTGCTGCACTGGGTATCGCAATGGCTAGGGAAGACGGAACGTAGTTATTGACAGCCTTAGAAAGGTTGTCCATGCGAGTGGGACGCCTAGGATACGAGTCAGTCAATTGGTTCGATACCGACGCAATCCAAGCGCCTCGACGTGTCAAAAGATCGAGTGGGAGTCACAACACATCATTTACGCCACCGAACATGCGCTGATATTCCCATACTACCTCTCACAAAACACGCAAAGAGAGGATACTCACTTTGGAATACTCGGTGTCCGAACATGGCCCGACGTAGGTCTGGGAGTAGTGACCTGCTTGCCCGAAGCAGGCAGTTCGTCGGATATACCAGGGGGCGAACTTGGCGCCGCCTCGCTGATGTAGCGTGCTCCGGGATCGTCCGTGTGTATATCAACATCGCCAACGCGCTCTCCATCCGAGTCGTCATTGAAGTCGGCTTCGGAGAAGAAGCGGGTTTCAGCAGGGGGCGGCCTGTGATGAGCGTGTCAGCAATGGCATAGCAAGGACCAGAAGCAGTATGAATCGTGGAGCAGAGTAGATATGAGAGCAGTATAAGCATGTGCTTGGCCCGATGAACGGTTTGCGCTTATCGCCTATATAGTCGAAGCAGGTGCCGAGAATCCCCGACTAGTCCGCTCGCTAGTCATTGGGGTCTGATCGACGTGTCCCCCGTTCTGTGACCCGACAAGTATATCATACGCAGACAAAATCACAGTCTATAAAGAGTAATGCCTTTCATTGGTAGCATATGGCGCGGCATTGGAGGATCAAGCACTTCGAAGATCGCGTCATATAACTCACATAGATAGTGTGGCACTCCTCAGTTGCTGGGAGAGACCGCTCATCGCTGGCGACTCCGCGTACTCCCGCGCACCGTAAGAAGAGCCCGCCTCGTCAGCATAAGGCTCCTCTTGCATGTACGCGCCCACATCGCCACCCACGTCCTCAGCACCATCTAAGCCACCATAAGCGGTAGTGGCATTCTCCGCCGGTGGATCCGAGTGTTCAAAGTCTATAAGAAGCGACGAGGCTTGAGACTGTTCATGATTATCGACGCCAAGCAGCTGCTTCTTCCTTCCATTGCGGTTTCGTCCCATGTACGAGCGCGAGGGTAGGCGGGGAGATAACGGTGCGGGCGACAAGCGAGTCTCTGTCTCAGACTCGGCAGATGCGAGTTCGTAATAATAAATACGGTCGAGTCCAGACGAATGCAAGAGAAGATATAGTCCGTAGAGAGCAAAGAGGTGTAAAGCAGTGAGCAGAGCGCGGTATGTGGGGTGATGGTGGTCGGGGAGAGAGGTACGCTCCGGGCCGCTGTCCGTACTGAGGTCATCCCGAACTGGAATCAATCATGACTCGAGCCGCCATTTCGTTCAACCTTTCCTTTCTTTGCGAGCTGTTGTTTCCAGACGTCCTGCGGCGTCGTACAAGGGCTCTACTTGCTTTAGGCTGGGCTAGTACCCCAGAACGCAGCGGTACAAATGGACCAACATGTGCGAGCCATGCTTGCCACAGGGGCACTAGAGCGCCCGATAGGGGCTGTTCAGGCCACTTAACAATCCTCCCACGTTCGTTGGTCCCCAACAGTTCTTTAGCGCAGGATTATCCAGGGTTATCCCATATAGCAATGGGTGCGAATGATACGTATACGATGTAGTGAGTATATGAGGTACAAATGGGCAAAGTAGGTATCTACAAGAAAGCAAGAGATCAAGTCTACGACGCTTAGTGCCCGAAGTTGAACTTGAAGCCGCCGCCAGGGAAGCCGCCATGGCCACCCTGGAACCCGAACGGTCCACCGCCACCGCTCTGCTGGAAGAAGTGTGCGAATGGGTTGCCGCCACCTCCGCCAGGGCCAGCACCACCGCTCGGGTCGTTCGGGTCGTCGCCGTTGTCGAAGCGCGCGCGTAGCTCTGGATCTGAAAGGACTTCATAGGCTTCGTTGACCGTCGCCATTTTGGCCTCGGAACCACCCTTATCGGGATGCGCAGCCTTGACCGCTTTGCCGCTGAGAGATAGTCAGCATCACGTTTTCAACTAACTCGGAGGGTACGTACTATGCTTTCTTGATAGTCCGCTGGTCCGCGTCGCGAGGTACGCCAAGGACCTTGTAGTAGTCCTTCTGCTTGCTCAACTTGAGTAGGCGCTGCGCCTTGCTCAAACGTGCGTGGATCTATAGAGGGGTTCAGAGACCACTTCAACGAAAGGGTGCAGAAGACTTACTTCGCGGTTTCCTCCACTGGCCTGGAAAGCGGTGTCAAACACCCTAACAGCCTCTTCCCACTCCTCGCGCGCTAAAAGAGCATCCCCCTTCAGGATGAGCGCATCAATCTCCTTATCCGCGCCGACCATCCTCAACAGCTCGTCCGCCCAGCGCTCTCCAGCCTTCGCCTGTCCGAGCTGCGCGAGTGCGCGACACAGAGCGCGCAGAACTTCCATTCTTCTCGCGCTCGTTCTCCTTGCAGCGGGTAATGCGACACCGTGCGGAAGATCGAACATGCCGGGATGAGCGAACGTATCAATTGCGTCTTCCAGCGTCTTAAGCATACCGTCTCCGGGTTCGGTAGGCGAGGCGTCTTTCGGAGACTTGCCCAAGACGTGCGTAACGAGATTACGCCAGTCCTCCGCGTTCTTCAGTGTTTCGAGCTTCGTATACTGCTTGTCGAGCTTCTTCACAAGCCGATGCGCCTGCAGACACTGCTTCGAGTCGGGATCGCGGTGCAAGCACTGCTTGATAGCAGTCATAGACTGCGTCTCCGGTGGCGTGAGGTAGAAGTACGCCAGCCGGAATATACGCATAAAGTCGGACGTCGACGGGGACGTGATATGCGTTAGGCGCCTAAACGGAGAAGTCAGCATCTCGATAGGGGCTTCAGAACCTCATGGATCGAACGTGAGGTCACCGAGCGCCTGCTCATAATCTCCACCTCCCAACGCGCAAAGCGCACGCTTCTTGCGAACGTCGACCGCGTGTGGTGCCATGACGAGTACAGTCGTCGCAGCCTCCTCGCACGCCGTCCATAGCTTCGCCTTGTACGCTCCCTCCAACTTCGCCGCCGCCGCCTCTGAATCTCTCAACGCCAATCCAAACTCGATGGCGGAGGAGTCTGTTGGCGCTTTGGCTTGGTAGTCGGCCAGAGCTTGCCTCGCTTCGCCGAATCGCGCGTCTTTGGCGTAGATGCGGGCTCGCATGAAGTGCGCTTTCGGGAAGGAGTCGGGTGTGATCTCCAGAACGCTGTCGAAGTCGGATAATGCATTTTCAAAGCGGCTGAGGGAGAAGTAGGCGGTGGCGCGTTTGTAGAATAGCGTTGCGTCTTGTGGTGATTGCTCTGTATAAATATTGGAACGGTCAGCCAACGAATTCGAGGACTGGTACAGGATGACATATGATTTGATGGAGATATAGCACTCCAATAATTCTTCACATGCAGTTGATAGACCCAATATGGTTTCCTTGACCACTGTACGCGTGCTTGCGCACTGCATAGCCATCGGGCCACCTCCGAAGCCGTCCGAGAGAGATGGAGTAAAGAGACCTGCCTATTGCTTGAGAGTATGCTAATGCAGCATCATGAAACTGTCCAGCGGATAGCAGAGAGTTGGCATGGTTGATGAGAGGCAGTAAGCCCGGAGGGTACAACGAAGACCCAGCGCTCGGATCCGCCGAAGCCGAGAGCGAGAGCAGCGCGAAGCAGAGACCGTATAGCACAGGTCTAGAGTACATCTTTGTTGCCGCTAGGGCGCACAGGTAATGATATGGTCGTAGTCGTATGTAGAGCCGTGAAAGTGCGTAGGTCAGAGGGGAGAGCCCAGACGTGGAGGTGGTGTTGTGAAGTTGAGTTGTGCGCGGAACGCGCGCTTGGGAAACGAACTGGCACGTCATCCGGACACGTGTATTTTCGCTCAAAGGGAAAGGTTCGCACGCCTACTTTGGCAGCTACGTCGATGCGGTATCGGAAGGCACTTGCGTGTAATTTGATACAGTACTTGGATACAGTCGCGTGAGCACGGTGTACATTGGCAATTATGTCTTCGTCTAGTCTACGGAGGCGAACGTCGAGCGCACGGTTACAATCCTTCAGCAAATTGCAATGTCCATCGAAAGCAGAGGAACCCAATCGAATGATGATGAGTATAGTACAGCACTCGCCAAGCTCATGCAGTATCTCCACGTAGCAAAGTCACACGAAGCGGCAAGTCAGGCGATGCATGACCGCTCTTCACGCCGGGCGATAGAACACCGAAGTAGCGCCAGGTCACCTCTTGTTCCCCCGGCGCGAAGTGGAAGGAGGGTATGATCGTGGCAAGCGTGGTCTCTGCAAAAATACATCAGATCGCTGCAAAGGGTTATAGGGAATGATACGTACTCATGACGAGTTGAGAGAAGCGGAAGCCGCTGAAGATCTGGATGAGCAAACGTGATAGTTAGCAGGAGAGTCGAACGTACATGCATGAGCGGCTTCCTCCAAGGAACGTCATCCTAAACATCCATGTGTAAGTGTCATGCAGTATACGAGACAGTACACAACGTACAAGTGCGCATATACGCCAGGTCCGCGCGCGTCCGCCACGCTCTGCGGCAAACCGGACAACCAACGCGAAGGCTTCCACAGATGCGCATCCGGACCCCATATAGTCGGATCGCAATTAGCCCCGCGAATGTTGATGAGTATATGTGTACCGGCGGGTACATGGAGAGAGTCAATTCGAGCGCCATCTGAGCCGATGATGGGATGTTGTAGGGGCAGTACAGCGTCAGCAAGAGGACTGCGCGCAGAATCTGTCAGCCGAAAGCCCTCGATGTGCACAGAGAGATGGATACGCACGCGCGCTGAGATACTTGAGCAGGAGGAAACAAACGCAACGTCTCCTTCACAACGGCGTCGAGCAAAGGTAACGAGCCCGGATCAGTCAGAGCTGTGGCACCGGCGTTGATGATCTCTTCGCGCAGAGCATCCTGGACGTCTTGATGCTCGGCCAACATCTGAGCTGCGCGGGACAGTGCAGCCGAGGTCGTATCCGCCCCGGCAAACATCGTCACACGTATGTGAGCGAGTACTTCTTCCTCGGGGATGCGGTTCTTCAAGTTCTGGGCTCTATTCGCGCGCCCTGTGACATCTCAGCAACTAAGAGAAGCGGAAATGATAGGACTAGACTTACAGCACACGCTGAGAAGATCCGTGTCCTCCTGCAACTGCTTCACAGTCGCCTCATCACCCTTCGCAAAGAGCCGATTCTTCTCTTTCCAGATCCTCGTTAACTCAGTGTTGATAGTCTCGACGTTCTTCAGTATGTCGATCAGACTCGGGCGTACGAAGCTGAACAGCCGCAGACCGGCTCTGAGAACCCAGATCGGAAGATGATGCGTGCTGATCCCGATGCCGAGTGCGCCGTCGGGGAGGACATTTGCGTATGTCGGGCTTCTAGACCTTTAGCTAAAGGTCAACTTCAAACTGGACGGAGTACTAACGCGAAGTCTTTGAGTGCGCCCAGATAAGGATGGTCCTCTTCACCCGTCAAGTTATTGAACGCGTAACCGAATCCGGCTCTCCCGATGCATTCGAGTGTCAGCCGCATGAACGCGTCGAGCATGTTGACGCTCTCGTATCCGGCTTCGGCGCGCTCCGCCAAGAACTCCTTCAGCTACACATGTTCGTGAGTACGCACCAACACGCAGCAGACAGCCATGACGAACTTGAATAGCCGCAAGCTGGAGTTGCGGATGCATGCGGCGCAGGTTCTTCTCAGAAAAGACGGGCGTCAGGAGTTTACGCTGATTGCGATGATGCGCGCCTATCCGACCAAATTCAGTGTGCGTATCGCCGAAGAAGCACTACCACGAACCAGTGATGGTGACCACGCTAGGCCCGAAGACGGCCCAGTTCCCCGTAATGAACCAAGACGGAAGCTCGAAGTTCTCCGACTCTTTGACGAGTATGTGCGTCAAAGCAGCGGGATCGGAGATGACGAGTTGAGGATCGCGGAGGACTCCGTTGAGTCGGAACACGCGCCCTAAGCGCTCGAAGGCTGCAGCCTGGTACGATAGGCCATGTTCAGAGTTGAACCATTTCGGGATGTGGCCTGTAGAGCGCGTCAGTGCCCAGCGCAGACATGAAGCAGGGGACACGGACCTCCGAGCCAGTGACCACCTGGGACCGTGGGTATATTGCGTAAAGCGCGACCGCGTGCAATACGCCGACGCAGAGCTGGACCAACGATCGCGAGGACCACAACGAGCCAAATACCAAAGAGCTCGCGTACAGAAAGCATCACAGAGCGCGATCAGAGGACAGAACAAGCAGAGCACACCCTGACCGTCGATGATGCACTCCCCCGCTAGGAGGTGCACCGTATTTCACGTTCGCGAACATTGCACGCACACTCGCTGTCGCGATGTGAGACGCCCGATGCCCCTCCAGCGGCTTCTGTGTACGCGCGCCTGACGTCAGGCGCCGTCCGCTTTAGGCAATCTCGATCCCCTTTCTCGGTCGATCCGCACCCTTTGGGCTTCGGCTCGCTCTACGAGTCGCGTCGGCAGGCTGCGGCCACTGTATAGCTTCGCCAATCATACCTAGAGCGTTGATTTGATGCGGTGAAGCTCGAGCATCGAGGGATGGGTGAGAGTTCGATTGAACGCGAAGCGCATCTGGATCGTCATACCTGGCGGCCATCGGGCGGCTCGCGACCATGATCTTATCTCTCTGCCGCCGGGATGATACAGGGCGTGAGATGCCATCAAAAGGGCATGAGTATTGTCTGCCTGTGGCATATAACAGTGATAGCTTCTTTGTAAGTGCCCATGCAAGTGAGAGTACACGGCTAACTTGCACACTCTAGACTTCTCCTGTCCTGTTGCTCAACGTCGAAGAAGCCCACGCCTGCGGCGTCGCGCTCATCTCGAACACAAGCTCAGCACCCCGAGCGATCTGCTCATGTCGTATGACCGGAGTCTCGACAGCCTCGCCATCGATGGTTAACGACTTGATATACGGCTTGGTAGCAGCGCCCCGTGCTGAGATGACGAGTGGACGCGGCGCGTTCGGAAGGTGGACTGTGATCTTGTCGAAGAACGGCCTGTAGATCATTGAGTGAGCTGTTCGGCGAGAAGCACGTAGGGATGTAGTAAATAACGCACGTTCCAACGACGTACTCTGCAGACGCCGGGTTCACGGGGTAGAACCCGAGCGCGCTGAAGATGTACCATGCGCTCATCTGGCCGCAGTCCTCGTTCTACAGCAGATTCAGTCAGATATGACAAATGGCTTCGGCGTGTGTGCTTACGCCGGAGAGTCCTCGAGCGGTGTTGTTGTAGTTCACAATGGATATGTTTCGTATGCGTTCCTGACCCGTAGACGCAGCATCGGCCAATGCGTAGAGGTAGGGTATATGGTGCGACGGTTCGTTCGTATGATCGTTATGCCCTGCACGTCAACCATAAGCCCGATTTCCAAAAACTGTTCAGAACACGAACCTCCATCAAAATGCTCATCCAAACTCCTCACAAACCCCCTCCTCCCACCCCGCCTCTCAATCAGCTCATCAACAGCATGCACAACGTCGAACGAGTACGCCCACATATCGCCCTCCGTCCACCCCGCGCCCTGCCCCGCCCACGCGCCGCTCGCATTACGCGCCTCCATGAAGCCCGTCGCGTTGTTGAAGATCGTGAACGGTGCTGTCATTGAGCGGTTGAGGAAGAAGGACGCGTCGGCGGTGAGGTTGAGGTGCGAGGCGATGAGGGATACGGCGTAGTCGTCGTCTGTGTTATGAGCGGCGTTAACGATTGTGAGATCGGAGGGGGTGGGGGAGCTTACAGGCGTAATCTAACGTTCTCGAGCCGGCTTCGGAGTGTATATCATTCGCAACGAAGCCTTGTTCCTCGTATACAGTGCTCAACCCAGCGCGGACTTCGTACCCCACGTTCTCCTGCCGATCAGAGTACCTTCAAGTCTACTCAGTCTCAGTGATCACTAACTAAGATGCGAACAAACGTACTGGATACTAGAATCGTTCGCAGGAGGGACCGTCGCGTCCTTGTACACGGCTTCATAGGCAAGTGTAGTGTTGAACCCGGTGATGTTCTTCGCGATTGTTTCGGCGATGAGCGAGTCCGCGTGTGTTCCGACCATGATGTTGGTTTCTGTATGCTCCTCAGCAAGCACACTCACGCACGCATGGATGGGTGCTTACCGACGATGTTCTTCCACATAGGCAACCATCCGCCCTATAGAGACTGTCAGTGGATGTTCATCGAGTGCATGGAGTACGCTGGCCTCTTGATAGTCCTGCAACATACTCTGTACCATCCCCGGTATACGTTCGGGCGCTAGGAGGATCTGGAGAGCCCATGCAGCTCTGAACGTGTCCTGTTGCACGGCGTAAGCACATGTACTAGGGAGAGCTAGTGGGAAATATCGCATACCCAGATCGAGTATCCAGTATAGGACTCTCCCTCATGAACTGAATCGTCATATCCGGAGTAGTATTTGCCATCTTCACTTTGCTCGTAGGGATACTGTATAGTCTTCAGCCCATATTCCCCCGACAGATACAGTGACAAGTAACCCCACCTGAAGCGCATGAAACAGCCCCGTATAAAACACCTCCCGCTGCTCCTCGCTCGCACCCTCAACCACGAACCTATCGAGCTTCTCCGCCCACCCCTCCCTCGTCCCCCGTGCCGTCTCCTCCAAGCTCGTCCCGTCCGGGATCTCGCTATCCAAGTTCCTCCGCGCCTGCTCGACAGATATAAACGACACGCCCACGCGCACGTCCACCGTGGTCGTATCATCGTCAAACACCGCGTACCCGCTGAGCAACGTCCCATTCCGCTCGCGCTCCCTCGCGCGGTTCGTATCGTTCTGCACCGTCCCAAACTCGCTGAACGGCCTATCAAACCGCGCGCATATATACGCGGCGAAAGAGGGCGCTGCGTTGGGCCCGATTATAAAGTCCTGCCGCTCGGTGTTCGTCCCGCAGATCTCACGCGCGGAGGGGGAGATGCTGACGGAGCCGGAGGGGTAGGTCGCGTTTGAGGGATCAGATGAGCCGAGGACGGAGGGGCGGGTGAGCTCGAGGAGGATGTAGGGCGTTGAGGTGTTTGTGAATGTGAAGCGGAGGTGGCCGACGCGGGAAGCTGAGTGCAAGTATCAGCCAGACGCCGAGCAGACGGGCGAGATACAGATGAGTACGCACTCGCGCTTTGTTCCGCAAGGATCCGTCCCCCCTCCCTCGCTTCAACTTCGACTCCATACCAACTAACCCCCCACCTCTCCTCCCCCTCCACCTTCCTC